AGCTTGAGGCTCTGTCTCAAAAAAAAAAAAAAAAAAAAAATCTATTGAGGAGAGATAAATGAGACATTAAATATTCAAAATGCAACCATTGACTCGCTTGAGCCCAGGAGTTGGAGGTTGCTGTGAGCTGTGATGCCACGGCACTCTAGCCAGGGGGACAGCTTGAGGCTCTGTCTCAAAAAAAAGAAAAGAAAAAGAAGTTCAGGAAACACTAATACTATATGTCAGGAGCACAGGATATTGAAGAGTACCAACCAAGCAGTGTTTAATCCAGTGTTTCCCAAATTATAACCCTTTTTATGAAATACCCCTTGAGACCTATGAGATAAGACTTCAGAGAACACACTTCGGAAAGTACTGTGTACCCTGAAGATTCAGCTGAAAAAACTGCCATCCAAAAGACTCACAAAGTACTACTGTTGGTAAAGTTATCACCAACAAAACAGAAAATACTACCCTTCCCTGAGAAAAGGCTGTCCAGGGCACTGAAAAAGACCTAAGGCAGACTGGTGAAATTTAACAGGAAGAAAATAGACTGGTACGTTCATTCAATCTTTAAGAATCAGGCAAAAGGCCGGGTTTGAGGTTGCTGTGAGCTAAGATGCCATAGCACTCTACTGAGGGTGACAAAGTGAGACTCTGTCTCAAAACAAACAACAGGAAAAAATCAGGCAAAAAAGTTTTTACAAAAAGAAAAGTAGACGTTCCTAGTCAAAGTTACAAAGTTGGAAAGAAGAAATTTCTGTATAAATGAAAATAGGACTTAATTATATAGATTATAAATATAGCAAGTACATTAATCAGAAGAGTAACATGAGCAAAAAATGTGGACTCAAAAGAATGTAATTAAATCATATATGCAAGTTCAGAATGCTCTTTTCAGAATAATAAAAATGATAGCCAAAATGCACTGAGTATTTGCCATGTACCAAGCACTTCACATAAATTATTTCATTTAATCCAAGAATACAATGAGACGTTCTTATCCACATTTTACAGATTGGCAAACTAATGCTGAGAGAGGTTAAGTAGCAACTTACCACGGCCACACAGCTAGTCAACTGGTAGAGACAAGATGCTAAGGAATCTGACCCTCTAGGGCCACCCTGATACAACGCTGCCCTCTCAGCCGTGGGAGGCTGCTCTTCAGAATCTTCATCCAAGTCTCAGAACTGGGTGGAGGGAATGCGAGATTGGACACGCCAGGACGTTTCCTTTGTAGAGTCTTAAGATTTTCTTAAGCATTTATACTACATCAGAATGTTCTTATTTTCTTTCTTAACAGGAAAGAGAAATAATTGAACACATGACTGGAAACCTCAGGGAGAGCATCCCCTCTTCACTGAAGTCTGGACCATTGTTCCCCACACCCTGCACTCACTCAGCACTCCCCCCGCCCTCTCGGGGGGCACTGGGTTTTGCACGGCTCTGCCTCTTTCCGAGGATAAACTCCCTGGAGCATGACTGTACCTTACTCGTCTATGACTCTCCTCACCCAACTTTCAGTCCTAGAGATCAACATAGGTTATATATACAAATAAATAAAATTATTATCCCATAGTGAAATTGTCTCTATTTGGCAGCGCTGTTACCAGATGAAGAGGGTCTGGCCGCCTGTCGCTGTCGGCCAATATACAGACAGCGGGATGGGGCCTCCAAACCTGGCTTGTCAGAAGGCCTCGATTCTGGAGACCAGGGAGAGTAGTCTCTCCAAGGCTGTTCTGTTCTTCCATTTTCAACTTTACAGTTTGATACATTTAAGTTCAAAGTGAAGACCATGTCAACCCTTATCTTAAACAATCATCGGTGGAATCCATGACCCATAGTAAACAATAATCACTTCATGACCCAAATCAACATTTCATTTCAAAAGTTAATCTCCTAAATCAATCCACCTAAACTACTCAAGATAGGCGTCTTCAGGGTGAAAGCTAAATTTGCAAAACAGTAAGAATGTGAGATGAGGTGAAGGTCAGGCAGGACCTAGACCCACCAGACAGCTCTGTCATCTGCCCCAGGCTGACAGACTCCATCTTGTTCTCCCTATCTGCACTTTCAATACTATACAATGAAATCAAAGATTGAAATGAGAAAAGAAAAACCTCCCAGCGTATTATCTAGTGGCTTCATGGATGGCTTCACCCTATCACCAAAAGAGGAAGACACAGCTTCAGCTCTTCCTTGTAGCTAGAAGTTACACTCACTTCCCTTATGCTTTTGGCCGAGGCTCTCACTCTGAGTCTCCGGGAAGTCCATTATTCCCATAAAATGTTCATGAATTCCTAAGGACTGACAGTCTCATCAGTCACCTTCAGCTCTCCCCCATGTTTCTAGCCTCCCAAACACACCTCCCGATTTCCCTGCATCTCTCCTGCCACAACTGGGGTTCTAGATTATTTGTCTCACCCTTTTCACTTGAACTTTCCCCCAAAGCAATCCTAAGAGTTTTTCTGAGACTGTAGATGTTGCTAAAGATTTGCATCAGCAGTGAGTTTCAGGCTGGGTGCCCATGGCTCACACCTGTAATCCTAACACTCTGGGAGGCTGAGGTGGGAGGATTGCTTGAGGTCAGAAATTCAATACCAGCCTGAACAAAGCGAGACCTCATATCTACTAAAATATATATGAAGTTGAAATAGAAACAATTTCACTATGGAATAATAATTTTATTTATTTGTATATATAACCTATGTTGACATCTAGGAACTGAAAGTTGGGTAAAGAGAGTCATAGAGGAGTAAGGTACAGTCCTACTACAAGAAATTTATTCTCAGAAAGAGGGAGAGCCATGAAAAAATATATATTGTGGTTCCAGCTACTCAGGAAACCATGGCAGGAGGATCACTTGAGCCCAGAAGTTGGATGTTGCTGTGAACTAAGCTGAAGCAACCGCATTCTAGACAGAGTGAGATTTTGTCTCAAAGAAAAACAAACAAAAAACAAGTGAGATTTTACAGTCCACAGAGGCAGTGAAATGGTAAAACCTACGTTTGGGTAGTATCCGCATCCTTCGAATCCCTTACCCGTTCCAGATCAGGCATTTCTCACCAGCCCCCTACTTTCACAGGCTGCAGCCTCCCACCACATTCTCCCCTGTCCTCCAGTCCTGAGAGCCCGCTTATTGGGACATCCCCAGAAGCTCATTTTCCTCATGTCCTGTCACGGGAGCCCCCCTTTTCCACCCAGAGGCTCCCCAATGTGTTTCTCCGGGTGAAGCGCTCCCTACACGGGACCCTTCCAAGGGACACGGGGCGGCCAGTGCAGACTTCCTTTCCTCCTCCTCCACACCCCACATGTTTGGTCTTCTTTTTCTTTTTTTTTTTTTTTGCAGTTTTTGGCCAGGGCTGGGTTTGAACCCACCACCTCTGGCATATGGGGCCAGCGCCCTACTCTTTTGAGCCACAGGTGCCACCCTTGTTTGGTCTTCTCTATGAATTAGAAGGATGAACAACTGAAATTCATTTCTTACTGATATAAGTTATGACCCACATACACATTCTATTAAAAAGATGCTTTTAAAAACTTTCATACAGAGATCTTTTCCACTCAAGACATATCAATATCCCGAAACTCAGAACTACCACCAGACCCATTAGGAAGCCATTCCAAGGATGGACCAAATGAGAGGAGAATCCACAATCCAGGCAAAATACAAACTATATGTGAATAGGAGTTCAGATACCCTTTTAAAAATAAAGAGATATGGCCAGGCACGGTGGCTTGCGCCTGTAATCCTAGCACTCCAGGACGCTGAGGCAGGCCTATCACCTGAGCTCAGGAGTTCAAGACCAGCCTGAGTATGAGTGAGGCTCCGTCTCTAAAATGAGCCAGGTGTTGTGGTCAGCACCTGTAGTCCCAGCTACTTAGGAGGCTGAGGCAACAGGATCACTTGAACCCAGGAGGAGTTGGAGGTTGCTGTGAGCTGTGATGATGCTACGGCACTCTAGCCCAGGGCTCTGTCTCAAAAAAAAAAAAAAAATGAGGGGTTATGTTGATAACATTAGAAGAAAAAGGAAGTTTGAAGTCTTTCAACTCAAGTTCCTCATTTTAGAGACGACAAAACAGACCAAGAGAGCTTAAATGATTCCCATGAGGTTTGAGGTTCGCAATGAGCCAGTGCAGCTGCGACTTCAGCATGGATTTGTTTGCTTGCTCACTGTCCTACTTATATTTTGATTTGGGCAGCAGGAGGCAAGATCTATCTTGCACCAGAAGTAGACACCTGCTATTCATCCCTGCTATTCATCCCTTCAGCCCACTTTTGGGCCCAGGGAAATGCCTCTCCTTTTTGTGTACTATCTTCATGACATGTCACTTGGGATGTCACATGGGATGCCTATGCTGACAAGGGAGCACAGGACCCAGGCTTGACCTATCAGATACTCTCCCAAGAAAATACCAAGGATGGATTCATCATCAAGGGTGAATGGGGCTCGGGAGACACGGCCTATTCAGTCCTGCACCCAGATAGATTCCCCGAAGCTTCCCTGGGCCCTGTCCATCTCATAGCATAGGAGTAAAACTTCTCTTCCAGATTTCGCAGCTGACTGCTTTGAGTTCCAATAAATGTGTCTGTTGCTTAAATTAGCAGAGTCTGTTTACATCTGTGATTTGCAGACCCCTGTATAGCAGCTCAGCTGGCTCTCCTCTGGCATCTGTGCACACAGGCTTTGTTCTGGATTTCACCACATGTCTCCATGTCAACGATGAAACTAAGACCTAACTGAGCACAGAAGTAGAATTTTCTTATTTAATCAAAATAGCATGAAGCTCTGGGAGGCTGAGGTGGGTGGATTGCTTGGGCTCAGGAATTTAAGACCAACCTGAAAAAGAGGACAACCCTATCTCAAAAAAAAAGCATAAAGCTGATTAGTAAATACAAATTTTTCCTAGCAAATAAGGACCTATGTTCCTTTTTTTAAATTATGGTAAAATATACATTAAGTTTAGCATTTAGCCCTTTTTAAGTGTACAGTTCCATATTGTTAAGTGCATTTACATTGTTGTGCAAGAGAAAGGAGTATTAACCTCAGCACCACCGGCATTTTTGACTGGATAGTTCCTTATGGTGGGAGTGTCCTGTGCATCACAGTATGCTTGGAACTGATTCCTGGCCTCTACCCACCAGATCCCAGCCTCAATTATAGCAACCAAAAATGTCTTCAGGGGAGACTTGCGACTTTGGTCTTCCCCTCTGCCAGAAGCTCTGGTACATTTTACTCCCTCTGTATTCCTTTCTAATAAAATCCTATCTTACCACTGATCTGGGGTCCGTGGGTTTATTCTTCAAATCCCCAAAACCAATGACCTACTGAAGAAGAAATTCCAGTAACATATTTTGGGGATGTCATCCGGGATTGAAGATCGGTGATAAGCAATGGGACCGCTTAACTCTATCCTGTTTTTCTCCATAATCATGATAATGGAGACTAATAATTCAGATGCCTGTCAGCCCCTAAAAGCACACAGTGCAGCTACCGACCTCCAGGTCTTGGGTGAGAGACTGTTGGGGAACAAACTTTCTAATTCCTCTTGGCTCCAAAAGAAAGGAGCAGGACGGAATGTTAGAAGGCTTCTGAACCCCTTCTGTATCCACCCCTTTTCTCTGGTTGAGAGCCGAGCAGACAGAAGTAGCGCCCAAAGGTCCCCGGTCGCACTGGAGGGCCTTCTGAGAAACGTGCCCTCCCAGCTCTTTTACTATCCACTGGTGTCTTCCATGGTCTCAAACTTCTATTCATCTCTACAGACCCTGCACTCTCTCTCTCTGTCTCCTTGTAGTTTACGTGCTTTGTTTGAATGCTGGTAAAAGATTGTTTTATCTATTAGTTAAGTTTGTACTGGGAAAATCCTGGCCAAAATGTAATACAGACCCCTGACAAAGGACCCATGGGGGAGACTTGCGAGTTGGGTCTTACCCTTTGCCAGAGCTCCGGTGCCTTTTGTCTTCTTCTGTATTCCTTTCTGTCTAATAAAATCCTATCTTACCACTGGGGGGGGGGGGGGAATGTCTTCAGGTATTGCCAAATGCCCCCTCAGGGGAAAATAGCCCCTATTTGAGAACCAAGTTAAAGAAAAAAATTCTTATTTTCATTGCATTGTACGTAAATATCCCTTCCACCTTTTTTTTTCACTCAGAACCCTGTCGTCCTCTAAAGAGAAAAAAAAACTTAATATTAATTTAGATTAATATGATATTGTTGTTTTTGAAACTTATTTTATTATTTTATATTTTAAGGAATAAAACCACCTGTGTGCCAAAGTCAGAATACTACATATGCATAGAAGTTCACAAGATTTGTTTGTACTTTCTAAATTACTGTTATGGTTACTTTTTTCATTTTAAAGTCAATAAGCTTCAGTTTAAGAAAGCAGTATGGGCACATAAATTTGTCTTCCCTCCCTTCAGAGATTCTATTTAAGTGGTGATGAGGGCAAAATAGGAGGAATTGGTGATGCACAAGGGATTTTAACAAACTTCTGGAAGACTTAATACAGCCAATAGAGGAAACATGTCAGCTTCAGCCTAGGAT